GACTAAAGGTCTCTCTAGTCCCGGGCGCGACAAATACCGGGACTAAAGCCAAATTTTGAGGCGGGATCAAAGGTCGTTTCTCTACTAGTGTCTGTGGTGTTTGCCAAGTACAATGGCCTTTGCACTCGGCAAAACATGTTCCCAGGTAGTCACTTTGCCGAGTGTCATGGCCATTGCACTCGGCAAAGTGACTGAAAACAGCCTTTTTTATTTGTTTTTTACATCCCATCCAAACAAACAGATGATATATATAACAAACATCACCAACATCACATATATATCATCAACAACACATATATATCACCGACACCACATATATATCACAAACGTCACATATATATCACAAACGTCACATGTCTCACAATATATCACAAATAAGTTCACAAGTAATCCAAGTGCTCCATCATCTACAACCACAATTGCAAATAGAAGTACCATTAACAACCACAAGTATCATCACCAAGATGGCCAATGAGACTAATTTGGTGAAGGATTCGCTGAAGCATGAGGATCGTTCGATCCCGCTGATTGATTCTGCACAAAGGAGAAGAGATTGCATGTGTGAGACAAGACAAATATATACCATACATGAATAAAACTTTCATACTCCACTAGGTTTGACCATAAGCATGAACATACAAACTAAAACATTTATACTCACAGGAGTAGAATAGTGAGGAGGTGGAGGTGGAGCGAATAGCGAAGGTGGCGGAACTACACCCGTAGCGGCGCCAAGACTTTGCATGTACTGAAGAATCTCCGCCATCCTCCGCTGCTCGGCCTCCCGCTCGGCCTCCACCCTCTCCATCTTCGCCTGCATCTGCTCCCGTATCCTCCTCTCTTGTTCCAGCTGGACCTACAATATATTCACCCCAATGTTACAATAATACAAAGGAAAGGTATGAAAAAACCAATGAACGACGAATAAACCAGGAATAACCTTGAGTGCCTCCACCTAGTGGTGTGAAGTGTCCTGTCGAGGTTGTATGGCCGGGCTCCTGCTCATGCTACTTGCTCGAATCTGGGAGAGACTGGGAGTAGCGCCCGAGTCGATTGCACCGTCGCCAATCTAGTACCGCCCATGCTTCTTGCCTCCTCCCACCCTCATGATGACTTCTCCATCAAGGTCCTCGGTGCTCGGATCATACTCTGGCCCATGGACCTCCCTTGCCATCGATGTGTACTCACTGAGGCGGTTGTGGACGGTCACATTGTTGTACGCCTCGGGCCCGTCCTCCGGGTTGTAGTCGACGTCGGACGTCGCCTTGCCCTTGTGGGCCATAGCAAATGCCTTGAAGGTGGAGCAAGGCTGGCCACCATGTGACGCTGACTGCGAGAAAAACAGAAAGATGATTAGAAATCATGTAGAATTGAGCGTTAGAATAAATAAATGAATTCGTGTACCCATGTTTCTGCGTATCCGCTGAGGCTACGGCTGCCTTGATGGTGTGCTACACCTGGCATCACCAAACGCCGCTCCCGGCACAAGTTGTGCGTCTCCTCCCACTCGATTGAGCACCACTTGTCCACCATCTGTTCCCAGCACTGGGGATGCGCGACTCACCAATAAGAAATCATCTACATGCCATCAAGTACATGACATATCAGAAGATGAAATTAAGCCTACTTAATCTCAAAAGGAATCAGTATTAATATTTTGTATTTACCTGCAGGTACTGGTCCTGTGTCAGCATCATGGTTCTTGCGTCCCTTTTGGTGACCTTCGTTCCAAGGATGGTCCCATGGTAAGTTACGACGGCCTGGATGCGCGCCTCGTAATGCATGTCCATGACGAGTTTTTTGCAGCATTTGGTAGCCACCGCATCCGCCCTAGCCTCATGTCCGTCCTGACATCTAAAGAAATCATGTATCCATTCATTATTTCAAGAATGTCCAATGAATACGATGTATTGAGCAATGTAGTGCGAGGAAGACTTACCCACAGCTCTTGCTTCACTCGCTCCGCCTTGTTGTTGAATACCCTGCGGGCCTAATCTGCAGCATCGAGGGCGGCGGCGTAGTGGTCAAACGAGTAGGCCGGCCCCGTCACTCCGGCGTACTCAACCAGGCCAGGGAAGTGCTCCTTGCACAGAAGACCGAGGATGCCATTGACTTGGCGTGTGTGAGCACCTCCACTCGCCACAATCATTCAGTTCCTGCCCAAGTAATTAAGAAAAATTATTAGTTTCTATTTTGATTTTCAACATATCATATAAAGTAGTGATAACATCTAAAGTTACTTACTTTTCCCCCTCGGATCGAATCAGCGGGTGTCTCTCACGAGGTATCGGTCGCTGAGGGAGGCTCGCAGGACCTCACAAGTAGACGCTCGACGAACTAGAGGAAGCGGAACCCCCTGCTGTCGCCTCCGCCTCGTGGTCCTCCTGCGCGTCCTCCTGCGCCTCCTTGGCGTCCTCCTGGGGCACCTGCTCCTCCTCCTCCTCATGCGACGGGGTGGCAGGCGACGTCTCCCTCCTGCAGCTGCTCCTCCTACTCTCCCCCGGTGCAGTGGTTGTTGTCCTTCGGTACAAGGACGCTAGCTTTCTCATCCCACCGTCCACCATCTTTGTTCAATCACCTGCAATTAAAAAGAGTAAACCAATATGCATAGATAAACAAGAAGTACTTAGAAAGAGATGCAAAATAAACAAAACGTAATTATAAAATAACATAGTATTACATGTATTAGAAATAATCTTCATGATCGGGATTAGCTGGATCATAAGTCTCATCATCACTATCAATCATGTCGAAATAATCAACACTATCCGAATGAGCAATGTTGCCATTGTCATTGTCTAAATGTAATCGCTCAAGCATTTGTAAGTCCTTCACATTTTGTACCTCATCTCCAGCGTCCTCTTCAATAACCGTTTCATTGTCTACTTCCATTCCGATCGCTTCGGTTAAGTCTATCTCAAACCTCCCTTCTAGTCCCTCTTCTCGAAAGAACTCTCAGTCATATGTGTTTGGGTCTAAGTTGTAATCTTCATCGTTTGGGACAGGCACTTTACGTGTGGCGATACCCTGTGCATAATATCCCAACCCTTAAGATGCCTTTTGGTTTGACACGCATATGGGAGATAATAAACTTGCATGGTCTGTTGGGCCACAATATAGACATCGTCTCCTGGTAAGACGGAATCCTGTCGAATTTCGACTAGCTCAAGATTAGAATATGTCCGTCTCGTTACTTCAGGATCAAACCAATGGCATTTGAATATGACGGGATTAAAAGGTTTGGAACTATGAAACTTGAGTTTGTATATTTCTTCAATTCTTCCATAATACTCGACCTCATCAACGACGGGCGTAAAAACTCCGGAACTTGTGGTTCTTCGATTGGGCCGACTCTGCTCGTAGCTTGTTGTGCGAAAGCGATATCCATTCACGTCATAACCAGAAAATGACCTGACCCTATAGGCAAAGCCATCGGCAACCTGTCTCAACTCGGCACGCATAGACACATCCCTCTGGCCCTGCAAGCTCAAGCAGGATACATCGTTATAATATTCGCACTTACGAGTAACTTGGAATGTTAAACTAAGTACGAGCTAAATTGGACGGTACCTTTCGTTTGAACCCAGAAATGAAATCGGACATTCCATTTCCCGCACCCTGTCTAAGAATCGGAATAAGCAATATTGTGATATTTCCTATCGGCTTCCAATTTATTTGGTGGTGGACATCAGAGATAGTAGTTTCCTCGAAGGGAAACCTATAGAGAAATTGTGTTCAACTGACAAAAATATTTGTATTTCCTTGAAAGGACACCTACATGAAAATTGTGTACAACCAACAATAGTATAACTATTTCCTTGACGGTAGGTTCACAAAGAAATTACAGCACACCCACAAAAATTTAAATTATCCCTGACAATAATCTTACGATGGTCTTAAAAAACTGACAACACTACAATATTTTGTCAAATGACCATCAGAAAATTGAAAATTACCGTTAGGGATAAAGTTTCTGTTGGAAAACTCACAAGCAAAATATATTTCTCTGTCGTGCTAACTTGACGAGATTTGCCCGTCGATTGCCGGACAGAATATATTTCCTTGTTTGCTGCGCACGGCATGATGGTCCACCGATACTTGCAGGGTGTGGTTTATATAGTAAAAAAACATTTCTAAAAATATTGTACTCCATGGTACCCCTTCATTGTAAATTATAAGATATTTTGGCTTTTCTAGATAGTTTTTATTAGGTATCTAAACAAAATGTAATCTAAATGCGTAGCACACATTTATTACATTGGGATAGTTCTTAAAGTAGTAGTTAAAATGAAAGTGAACGTTTAAACCATGCCAAAACAAAGATATAGATGGATCCAAAGAGCCGCACAAACCAAAGCACACTACGAATCTAACAAGTCCGGACCATGGGCAAAGCTGGGTCCTTTGTACAACAAAATAAAAGTGAATATAAAGTACTCAACAAATACAACCTTACCCTACAAAGTGAGATGAATACATGCATATGGATAATTCAAGGAATAGGGCTTGGCTTGATTTGCGTAAAACTATCTTTTGACACATGCAAAGTTTTGGTTTTGTAAATATTTTGCAAAAGACATTTATTTTCTATATATATGAGTATTTTCTGAAAAAAGGGGTTTGTCATATTTTAAATGCTATTGAACACTTTGTTCTCACAACACATGGCGCGCCACTATTGCTACTCATTCCAATCCGACTAATTGTTGATACCAAACCATAATTTGTCTCAGACCGCGAACATGGCTATCCAGACGCTCTGCAACTGTAACCTAACACCATTTTAAAACAGACAAAGATCCCCCTACCGAAGGGTTTGCTAGCTGATGGGGCAACAAAGCAAAAATGGGTCTCACATCTAAAATTCATGAAAAACAACACGAATGCTGCGCTTATATACTGTAATGAATAATGACTTGTGTGATACATATTCAGATCATCGCTCACAACTCCAGGTCTTTGTTAGTTCCACACACTCCAGGTCCAGGAGCACATCATCATCATCGGAACAACTCTGGAAAGGACCACATGATGAACCTGGCATAGATGTCATTCTCTACGAACTCTATGTGTGCAGCTCTGCCGATCATGGTGTTCAGGTTCCGTCCTTGGGCGGACTGGTCGAATATAACGTCACAACGCATGAATACCCGTGTTTCCGACGTTGGTGCCCGGATCTGGTCCAAGTAATTATTCAGCATCTCAGTGAACACCTGCCCACGCTTTGAGTTATCTGATGACGAGGCGTGGCAGAGGTCGATTCTTGCTGAATGATATGGGACATAGCCATCCTAGCAAGTAGAATGATGACAGTTTCAAGTAAAGTGATGATGTCCAACTTTAAGCCTGGGAAAAGAAAGAATGTTGGACATACATATGCAGTACCTGCGGTGATGATACCAGGATGATATTTTTGAAGTTCTCCAGTGTCTTCAGCTGTCACAATAGAAAAACAAAAGATTAATACATGCGACAAGTTTGACTAGATTCAACAGTAGTTCAGTTTTAAAAACTTAATATAATGTATACCTTGCAGAGCTTGTAAAAGAATGTATTCTGTGGGTCGTGGTCATCACTGAAAGTGAGCTGATGCATGCACTGCATTCCCATGAGCCGTTTCATGAGCCAGAGGCCAGAGTTGAACAAAGAATTTGGGCTGTACCAGTAGCCTAAGTGAGGCCCCGATATGGACATGTATGTATACAGGTTCTTCAAAAATGGCTCCAATTTGGGTTCTTTTGAAACAGAAAGATAAGATTAGTCAACACATTCACACAACTGTTAGGAAGGGGGAAATTTTCAAGGCCGCCAATTTGAAAATACCTATGAGGGCACTTCTGAGGATAATGTTCCCAATAGAATGGCCGACAAAACTAAGCTTAATCTCTTTGCAACCTCCATTTTTGGAATACTTGTCCACCTTCATTTTGAGGAATGCCACTACTTCATTAGCGAGCCTTCTACCCATTTCTTTAAAGTCTCCAGACGTTCTATCCTCATTTATCTGAGACAGTAGGCACTCAGCTCCAGGATCAAGCAAAAGCCATTGGTTTTTAACAAGGCGTAAATCCAAATGATGTCCCTGTTTATTTTAGGGATCAGCAGAAGTTTCAGCTAAATATGTTGCAGTATATGTGATAAGGCTGAAACAATTATTACCAGTCCCAAGAAACTTACCTGAAATCCATGCACAAAAATGACAGCTCGTAAAATGTGGCCACTCTTGAAACCACAAGTTTTTTCCTCCAATGATTGTCCTTGTAGTAGAGGTGACACAATAGTACCCACTGGTTCTGAAGCATTTGTTAGAAAATCCTTGCTAGAACAATGTTGCGGAATATCCATGACATGCTGCTCTATGCGGACAACGGGGGATACATGAAGGATCAGCATAAATATGCATATCTTGAACAGACGGCGTGTTAATCTGCAGTATGTTTTCCATTAGTATCCTTTTTACCATAAGTGTAGAACTTGAATAGTAGTCCTGACTTGAAGAAAGACCAACCTTCATTTGTGCTATACTTTTCCTGTGCAGTTCAGCCTGTGACATCGAATTTTGTATAGGCTACAAACATGGAACCATCAAATATATAGCAACAAGAAAATACGTTAGGTCAATAATGCAATTTCTCATATAAATTAAGAATGATCGATAGTAAACATTCAAGAGAAGGTAATTACATCATGATGGACCTTTCGTGAACTTGGAAATCCGAATCAAATGGCGAGGAGAGCCGTCATTCATGCTTCTCAAATAGCGATGTGGATTCTCAATCTTTGAATGAATAATCCATATTGACCATTCCGCTTTGCAATCAATATCCCACATATCATGCAAATAATCCAATATCTTTACTTTATGTGTCCTGCATTGGACCAACAAAAAATTGGTGGGATATTATGAAAGAGTCATTATAAGTTTATAACTAAGAAACCATAAGACTAAGAAACACCCGATCAATGGATACACCCATCTTCAAAAATGAAATGCATGAGAAGATAACTCACCTGTGAAATTTCAAGAACTCATTCCATATAAATGAGAGTTGGCTGCTCACAATTTGAAATAGTTCAAACAATTCTTCCTCGGATAGAGTATACAACAAGATATCATCAGTGCTTCCAACCACAACACCAGAACTCTGAAACAAGTTGTGAGATGCATCAACCAATACAGATATTCTAAAAACTAGAAAAAAAATCATGAAAAGTGAAGTATACCTCAAGAAAATCGCGTAAGATGCCAGTCATATGGGGACTACACTTTGTGGGTGTACCTTGCCCATTATTGTAACTGGGCGAACCGGACTTTGATGGTTGAATTGTCTCATATTTACCAAGGGTTAAGTCAGTGTGATCTAAATCCTCAAGAGTGTTACCAATAGCATTACTGATCTTCACTTCTTCAAGAAGTATTTCCCTAGATATTAGTGATGCCTTCACAATATCATATGACTTTGAGCCAAAACTTTGTTCCCGCGGCTGCATATTCCACACCGACTTTTATTCATAAAATTAAGAACGCAATTTATTCGTTTCTATTACTAAATTCCTATTGGCTATTGGCATGGCATAAACATATATGGTCTGCGCAGCTGATGCTTGATTAAATCCTTAAGTAATATGTATATTTGTGACATGTTGATTACAAGCATATACATGTGGTTTATGTTATAGCAACATCACAAAAGCATTGTAGTGGAAAAAGTATCTAAAAAATATAAAGAATCACAAACCTGTGTACCTTCAGTGATGATGATTTAGTCACAGCGGCTTTCAGGTACACTATGTGTATTGTCAGATCCACAAGTGCCGAGTGTAAAGCGTCAAAACGGACAGGGCAATATGAGTGTAAGCCCAGGAGTGCTCTATGTGGGATCCTAAATTCATGGACAGGGATCAAATCTGTGTCATCACTTGAATCTTGAACTTCAGTCCTATGATGCAAAAGGAAGCAGCTTATCAGAGTTGATGAATATGGAGTGTAAAATTTTGGGTGCACATGTAATTTAACACAATAACATACACACCACCCATTCCCCAGTGTTGGGATATATATGAGCTCGAACTTCAATATAACAGAAGAAGTTGCTGGACCCTAGAATGGAGAGAGAGAGTACAGATCAGGCTAAAGTAAACAAGGTTCATTAACAGAAGTAAAATCTATAATACTCAACCTCGTCTTCGCTGTTGGGTATGTAGAAGGACACCATAACTGATAGATAAATATCTTGCCTAGAATATTTTACAAGAAATGGCTGTGTATAGAAGCTATTGCCAACATCATCTATTTTCCAAAAGCCAAATGAGCTCTTCACACCAATATCAATAGCTGCATAATCCACCTAGCATGTCATTATCTATTAGCCAAAGATTAGAATTCAAAAGTCATATGGTTAAGAAATATAGGAAAATGTCAAAAAACAATTCTGACACTTCATTCTGTTCCTGGATGTTCTCAATTTATACTACCAAGGATTAACGAAAACATAATGATAAACCACTGCAAGAGGGTTAACACATGTTTGTTGCTTTAGCATTGTATAATATTATCCAAAAATAATGTAGCGCAACACATAGTTTTTCATGGCGATGTCCTAAACAATTTTCACTTTTCATCTATACTTTGACATAAATACAAGTAAAAATAATCAATTAATGATAGTTCCCTTGAGAAACTTCTGATTCTAGGTATGTCAAGATTTAGACAATGGAGAGATTATTAGGATGGCCTACATGTTGATTTTATATATATTTAGTAATGAGGGAATCATTTACTCTACATAACAATATAATTAGTTCAAGAGTAGGTATGATTGAATCAGAAACTACAGGGCAACAAGCACAGTATTGATCACAGTGAAGCAGTGAATTTTCTTTTCCCTCTTGAAACAAGCAAAAAAAACTGCATATCATTGTATTATTAGGAACGAAGATAATAACTGGTCCAAATAGATTATAAAACAAAATGAAGTAGGGAAATTTGTATTTGAGGAAAGCTCATCATGAAGTAGGTAAGCAATTTGACCGTTCATCTTTCACTCTAACCTTCAAAATCATGCAAGAAATATATCCCATAGTGTTACGGCGCCTGCGGTGTGGTGAACGGAGGGGAGAGTGGAGGAGGAGGCTGGACTAGGAATTGGAGCGCAAGGGGTAGCGAGGAACGTCAGCGGTGGGTTCTTCTCCAGTGGGCGTGGCTGAAGCGCTCGACGCCACCGTCGAAGGGAAACTCCCACCCCAATAACCAGGGAGAGTTTATTCCTTCTTTGGTAAAGATTACAATCGCCTAAGGTGCCCTTTATAGTATAGGTGCACTTTCCTAAGCAAACTCCAATCTAATCTCTTAACAAATCTCTCCCTGATCTAATCTCCTAAGCCGACCAGCCTAGCCACGGCTTGGGCCCACTGGCTGGCGTGGTCGACACCTATAGGTGCGTCCAACAAAGGAGTCTATAACACATAGAAACCCATGCAATAAACAGAAATGTGAGCTTTAGACTACCCTAAATGTTGATCATATTAATACGAGAATCATTTAATCTACTTAACGATATAAGTACAGGCATGTGAGTTCCCCAACTTCAGAAGAAACAAACCCATGCTGCCTCGTCGTAATCAACTAGCTCTCTATATATACTTTCATAATGAAGCAGTGGTTCATGTTTTCTTGTTGTCGATGAACAAGCAGTGGTTCGTTTTATTTTTTTATAAATTTTATCTTGTTTTGTATTTTATGCAGCGTTAGCACAGGCACACTGGTAGTTAAGATAGGAACATGTCCAAATAGGGTACAGCACAACAAATTGTATTGCATGTTAAATCATGCTGAGAAATATTTCCCGCATAACAGAATGAAGAATGAATTATTTTTATCTCTGCATCAAGAAAGGTGAATTCGCACCTTCGTATTGCGTGACCCTGGCCGGTGAGATCGGTGCTCTATTATTCTTGTCGTCCTCCCACAGGGCACTAATCTTCATGCGGTACCATCTACAGGCAAACAAAAAATCAAGGCCAAAAGGGAAGAATTGAATTTTAATGCATTGCAAACAAAAAAACCAAGGAAATGGAACAGCAAGAGTCCCATAAGAATATGATTTGTTTCAACGCCAAATTTGTTCTCCAAATTTACAAACAATGTAATGCGTATCTTTTTCTACCCATCAAGGAGAGCCAAAAGAATGAATGCCATAAAAAATGAGAACGTTAATATGTTCTTGAAAGGAAAAGGAGAGGGGCTGGAAAATTTTCCCCGAATCCTTGTTAGTTGTTACCCTTGCTGGAACAGGTCCAGATTGTGGAAGCGGTCGCGATGTAAACGGCCACCTCGTGCGCCGTCTCCATGACAACCGACCGACGCCCGTGCCGGAATCGCCACACGGCGGTGATGCGACGCCGGCGAGATCGCCCACCCCTCCTCCCGCTCCCCGTACGCCTTGGTCGGGCCACCCTTAAGCGACCTCCTTCCTTCCTGGGCTCTTGTTGCTGTCCGACGACAACTTTTTTTTAAGCCAACCAATGGTCGGACGGACTGGTTAATGGGCCCATAGGACCACAGCGCAGCTCTCATCCGCAGGCCCATTCGTGGAAAAATCTTCCTGAATTCCATTGATAATTTGAGCGGACATAATTTCCAAGCCAAGATTTGAGTTTTATGGATTGCTTAAAAAGGTCTATTTTATCTCTCTGAATCAGGATGGTTGCTCGTAATATTCTCCAGGAGACAATGGTTATAGGGGTGTAGTGTTTGCCGGGTTGTGTTTTGGCACCATCAGGCCATTTTGCTCTCTTTTTTTCCCTAGCTGTATAGTTTTGTTTTATTGTGCTCTGCCATCTTTCTCTTTTGTTATTTTTTGTATAAAAGGTCGCTGTAGAAAGGCTGGATGGTACCTTCATTCTTATGCTTTTTATTCCTATCGTCTAGAAAAATTGCGAAAAAGCTTTTATCGTTTTTTCAAAAAAAAAATCTCTCCAGATCGCCATAGTCTGATTCTTCTTCTCAAACCCTAAAACTATATATCTTATCCTTGTGTGACGTCTTAAAACCGGTCAAGTTACCTCCCTCCGATGGTTTGTAGTGGTTTCTAAAGATGGTTTTATCTTTTCTAGTTTAAAAAATTCGATAAATACTTGATGGTCTTTAAAGCACAGAAAATGTGTATAAGCTTTCAAAACTTTTGAAGTTCTAAAGATAGGTTTTGATATGACAAATCAAAATAAAATATTTAGAGCTTATTAAAATATCTCTAGATGCTTAAAAATAGATTTAGCTCTAGGAAAATGAAAAAAAAATCAATAAAAAACTAAAAAAAATCTCAAAACATTCTAATTGATATGTCAATGTGTTTTGAAAACTTTTTGCGAAAAAACATAATACACAACTAACATGGACGGACGTATAACATGAATGCATTCAACATTAATGTATGCTACATTATGCTAGTTGCATCTTATATTTCTTATAGTGAAAAGTTTTTAAAACATGTTTATATATTGATTAGAATGTTTTCGGATTTTTCTAGATTTTTCTCGATATTTTTCTCATTCTCTAGACCTAAACCTAATTTTTACAAGTTTCTTAAGATGTTTCACACGCTCTAAATATTTTATTTGGATTGGTTGTATCCTAATATATCTCTAGTTCTTTTGGAATTTTTGGTAGGTTGGACTTGGAGACATTTTCTGTGATTTAAAAATCTTATATAGTATTTACCCAACGTTTTCTAAAAAAAGATAAAATCATCTTTAAAAGCACTCTAAACTAGGGCAGGGAGGTAATTCAAAGTGAAAATTCTCTATATGACACTGGAAAATAGTTGTGCTTCCTTATTTAACACTAAATTTTTAACCTTCTCTATCTGACATCAATTTTATCATTCGTTCCTTATTTGACACTTCGGTCAGTTTTTAGGTATAACTACGTTAAGTGGACAATGGTAAAAAAAAGAAAATTTTGCCCCTGCCAAATGTTTGTCCTCGGTTCTTCTTCCTGCTCTCCTCCATTCCCTAAATGTTGGCAGTTTCCCAAAAAAAAGAAAATAGTAGCAGTAGCACGTTCCAATACCCAGGGTCCTCCATGATCGACTAGGGGCCCGATCCTGGCACTGTGTTTGCTGCCCTGTCTTTGGACAGTCCAGGGGCGAAGCCAGGATTAATCGTCGCCGGGGTCAGCACAAACCCATAGTGCTAACATTAAGGTTGCGATAATACAATACCATACATAATATCAACAAATGTAAAATAGCATTATAGCCAAATAATCCCAATCATCGATTGGAACAAATGTAAAATAGCATTATAGCTAAATAAGCTAAATAATCCCAATCATCGATTGGAACAAATGTAAAATAGCATTATAGCTAAATAATCCCAATCATCGATTGGAACAAATGTAAAATAGCATTATAGCTAAATAATCCCAATCATCGATTGGAATTGTGGGTAGAAAGTATGATTTGTATTTGATGCGGTGCCATCTCTTCTTGCTCTTGAAATATCTCCATCATTTTTTAGTTATTATTGGGTGGGGATAATTTTCTTTTCAAGAATCGTTCCAAATGTGCATCTTGATAGAATGTAGAATGAAAAAGCACGTTTCTTTGCTACAACACAAACAATAGAATCCTATATCTCTTAATTAAGATTTTAGAACTTCAGATTATATAACTGAAAGATAAAAGAAAACCCAATTACCCAAAGACCTTACAATTTAGACTTGATAAATCAATAAAGTGCAGACAAGAGACATCAATGTGATAAATCAAGAAAATCGATCATTATAGTTATCAATTGTAGAATCAAGTTATTTGATGTACCTCCTCCAGGTGCTTGAGAGTAAGGATCAGAGAGCATATCGCGGTATCACCGGCATCAACTGGGCGCCGACCCTGGCGAGTCGCGACCTATCGATCGTCGCGGCCGCCAGATGCAGGTGGATTTGAGATGGGAAAGGGTGAGTTACCATCGGAGACTCGGAGACGACGTTTTGACTTTTGGGTTGATGCATGTAGACTCGGACGTAGGGTTTATGAAGTGGAAAATGGGCCTTCAGGGTGGGCTTATTAGCCTGCACGTGCAAGCTCCTTGCATAATTGTTGCATGTGCGTGTTTGCATGTGTGTGTAGACTTGGTCAATGGGCCGGACGGAGCTACCACGCTGGACTAGCAGGCTGCCGGGGTCATAGTTTTTTTTTACTGGGGTCTACGGTGGTGAAAATTTACTACATACAAGAAGCCGACTGGAAACCGTCGGTGTCGGCCGACCCCAATGGATGAACGTAGCTTCGCCACTGGGACAGTCGTGGCCATGAGCCTATTGACATGCTCCGTCTTCCATGGCTAGGGGTCGCCCCACAAACCGCCACTCCACCATGCTCCATGGCCGACTATTGTGCGACCGACCCAACCAGCAGCCCAAGCAAGTTGCCATGCCCCCTTCTCCATGGCTGCACCTTGCCATGGTCTATGATTTTGTGTGGAGCTCGACGAGTTGAGTCGGGTGGAACATGCGGATTACACCAGCCTGATTATTTTCCGGTGCGAAAATAACTCAAGGGTATTTTGGTCTTTATACTGTCACCCACACGATGTTGTAATGCCAAAAGAAAAATGGAAGTGATCATATGTCGAATAACGGAATAAGGCATAAAACATAAAATCGGTGTCAAATAAGAAAGTTTGAAATTTTCGATGTCTAATAAGTAAGAATGAGTTTTTCTAGTGTCAAATGGCATTTTTCTCTAATCCGAATGGTTTTGAGAGTTTAAAAAACAATATGTCTAATTTTAGAGTTCAAAGAGAAAGATGGGACTTCAACTATAGTCTAAGTTTAATTTAAGGGATAGAATGGACTTGTTCGTCTGGGTGTGTCCGGCCCAGGCTCAGCCCACGAGGGTTATATCCTTCGGCCTGCTAAAGCCCCCGGCAAGGCGGCAACCCGACGCCACGGCGAGCTCGCGCCGCCGCCATGTTCGCCTCGCGCGCCCGCCACCTTCTCCTCAGCATACGACCCGCCAACCACGGCATCCTCCTCTGCGGCCCGACCTCCCACGCATCCCCTCCCGGGTGCGTCGTCGGCGCGCAGCGCCACTACAACCACCACCAGCTGCAGCAGAAGGAGGACGAGTGGGAGGAGTCCAAGGCGGTGAAGGTGACGGTGTGGTGGGATTTCCAGAGGTGCCGCCTCCCTCGCGGCGCCAGCCCGCGCCACCTCGCCCCGCGCGTCACGGAGGCGCTGCGGCGCGCCGGCATCCGCGGGCCCATCGAGATCACCGCCTTCGGCGACGTCGGCTGCATCCCGCCCTCCGAGCAGGAGGCGCTCGCCGACACCGGCGTCGCCTTGTCGCACGTCCCTTCCAGTTGCGTCCTCTGTCTCCTCCCTCCACTACTCTCCCCCATTTCCTCGCTCTCTGTCATACTAGCAATTTCGCGGTAGACTCAGAATGACACTGGAGCGAAAAATGATTGGTCGGCTTGTTACTTCCGATTGATTAGATTATATGTAGTTAGCACTGCAACAAGTTTACAACATCTGGTTTAAAACAGTACTCGAATATTGAATACGGTGTTGGAATCATGAGGAATCTTTTCGTGATCAGTAGATATTGGCACAATTTATCTGAATAGAGGGGGCTTGGTTCATATTAGTGTTGGGCCAATGTTTGTATAGTAGCTCAAGGGAGCATTGCAAAGACTAGTACATAATTGTCGACAGTGTAAGGAAGCAGTTTTCCTTCAGCTAACCTTCAGCCTGTTTGCTTGGTCATAAACGATCGTGGATTATAAGCCAGAACAGTATTTTTCTCTCACACCAAATCAGCCAGCAGTAATAATCCATGATCGTTTCAGCCGAAACGAACAGGCTGCTTATTCGAGATGAATAAATTAGGACGTGGATTATCAAATATTAGGACTTGAATATCATTAGTGACTTGTTACTTCGGCGCTGCTGTTGCCGTTTCAAGTTAAATAGGACTCCATAAACATCAACTCAAGTCATATGTTAAATTGTTTACCTTTTCCAGAGATAGTTGATACACTTGAATTTTTTATTTTGTTTCCAAGTTGCCATTTAAGAATGACACCCTTTAACTTTGTTTTTGTATTTTGATTTCAGTTATGCAGTGTTGTCTGATCATACTAACAATATGGTTTCATTTTCTAGGTGGAAAGGATGGTTGTGATCGATCATTCATGTCTGATCTTATCTCTTGGATTGCTCAGAACCCTCCCCCATCTCATTTCTTCCTTCTATCCGGGGATAAAGACTTTGCAAACATCCTGCATCGTCTTAGGATGAGCAATTATAACGTATTGCTTTCTTGCCCTGATTCTGGCTCCAAGATGTTATGCAGTGCAGCAACATATCTGTGGGAATGGGAGGATCTAGCTAAAGGGGTGGATCTCAAACCCAAGTATTTAAATCATCCACCTGATGGTTTATCCTCTTCTTGGTATGGTCGATGCAGTGAACCTGGCCGTGACTTTCTCCTGAAACCAAAGAACCCCATGGCTTTACCAAGGAAAACCAAGGAACCTAACGTTCCCAAATCCGCTGTTGTTGGAATTAAGAGAGTGCTGCGCTTTTATCCTCAAGGGATCAGTGTTTCAGACCTAAGAAGAGAGCTTAAAAGGATTCATGTGAATATTGATGCAAGTGCATTTGGCTTCAAAAATTTCTCTGCTCTTCTCCTAGCCATGCCTGATGTTGTGAAATTTATAGATCCTCTACCAGGTGATAGAGGTGCAGGTGCAGAAGCTGCTGTGGTTGGGGTTTTCAAGAGATCAGGGGATTCTGCTCGAAGTAGCATTCCAGAAAAATGCCACAAGGAAGGTGAAAGTGAGGAGACATCACCATGTACAGAAAAGAGAACACTTCAAACGGAAGTCCCATCATCCCCATCAGATCAGCCATCTAGAGACAACAGGAAAGCTCTTGGATTTACTCAACGACCGGAGCCACCTTCCAAACATGTGGAAGCTGATGTTACTCGGGCTGGGGATGTTCCAGCACCACCATCTGATGCACCACCTGTAGACCAAAGGAATGATGTGGCTGTTGATCCTGTTATGCAAACAGAACGACCAGTTAGCTCGATGGAAGCTGATAAGGTGAATGCTGTTGATGCTCCTTCCTCGTCAGGGGGGCAAGGTAATATCAGCAACAAAAGGGGGTTCTTTGAACGCATATCATCCTTATGGAATGGCCAAAAGGCTTAGGTTTGATGGCGTCTCTTCTAAAGCAGTAATGAATAAGTAGAATAGATAATGTAGAATAGATGTTCAGAGGTGTAGTGAGCACAGCACAGGAACATGATGAGTGTTCATCTGAATATGCTTAGTATAAGGAAGACTGGTATGTGAAGAGCATTGTATTTTTTTTCTCTTTTCCTTTTTTTGGGGTGAGGAAGAGAGGATTGTATTCATTATTCACGTATGTTAAGCAAGGTTTAACGTACGCCAGAAAAAGAGGATTGTATTCATTACTGAGCGTACGTTAAACCTTGTTTTCATAAGGATAGATGATGCAGCGAGATGTTCTCGTCTGAACAGAAATTTCGCTGGTGCCTGAAAATCCATCTATATTTCATGGTTCTTCTGTTACATATTTACATAGATGTTCCGTAATGCTGAACTATTTGGAGATGCAGCTTTTTTTTACACCAAAAGCAGAATTGGTAACTCTTTTCATTGCACAATGCCTCACCTATTGAGAAAGGTTTAAATTTGGATAGCAATTGCAGTCGAGCTGTATAACAAGCTGATCTGATGATATCTAAGCTGGGCTACATCTGCATATACCGCTGGTAATCTTAGTACATGACAAGTCGGAATCATTTTAGAATTCTGTCAGCTCCTTTTTCTTTGTGATTGACAGCAAACTTCCAATCAAGGACAACAAGTGGCATTTCGAACAGGGCAGCACTCGCTGGTTACTGAAACCAACTGTGAACGACCGAGCCTTTGGCTGGTGCTGCGTCAGAAGCGATCGTAAATTTTCAGCCGGAACAGTATTTTTCTCTCACACCAAACCAGCCAGCAGTACTTCTTCACGATCCAACAACGAACAAGCCCAGCCAAACGAACAGGCTGCTTGTCTTCCTGCAATCTCCCAACCCACCATGTCTTGCCTGCAATCACCCAGTTAGCTTCTCATTGTTTGTGTTTGATGGAACCAATGAGTTACTCATCATTTTGAGCAACTATTGTTGAGTGACCAATATATGGTTTGTGGAATGGATCAGCAGTTACTTAATAAGGCCTTGTTTCGCAGGGGACGTTAGAAACAAGGATGAAGTGGGGAGGGCTGCCATGAACATGGTGTCAGAAGGCTTGTTTACGTAAGCACGTACAATGTGGTGTTTGGAGGGAAGCCGATTGCCAACGGGAATGAGGCGCTGCCTTATTTTCCTATCGAAGACCATGTCGATGCTTATGGGCACAGCAAATCAGTTGCTGAACAGTTGGTACTGAAGAGTAATGGGCAGCCAGCAAAGTAAGTTTACCTTTTTTTCTAGGCTTTAGTGTCATGTACACAGTAAGCTAACTTTTACCTCCTTTTGAAAATAGATGTCCTGGAACTGGAATACATGAACCAAGGTTTTAAAACTATACCAAATGTACACATTTGTTGCATGGAAATAATTAATTTGTATTAATGGATTCACCATCAAAGTACTGCCATATCATTGTAATTTTTAATATTCTTTGCTGATGCACGATTGAAAAATATGGCAACTGTGCTTATTTGTTGGAGACTGTTGACATCCAAAACGACAATTCTAAATAAATAATTTAAGCCAATGCTGCTCTTTGCACAATTCCTTAGATTGTGAAAATCTTAGTGTTGTCATGCATTATTGCTCCTTCTTAAACAACAGATAGTCATTTCATTTCATTTTGTAAGTCAAGAGTGACATTTGATAATACGCAGCCTGTCTTACTGATTTGGTGAAATCTTGCAGAAGTGATAAAAGTACACGTCTTTATACATGTGTGATTCGCCCTGCTGCTATATATGGGCCAGGTGAAGAGCGTCACCTTCCAAGAATCCTGTCCCTTGCAAAGTTGGGATTAGTATTCTTCAAGATTGGGGGCCCAGATGTCAAGACAGATTGGGTCTATATCGATAATCTAGTTCTTGCTCTGATATTGGCAAGCATGGGACTTTTAGACGACATTCCTGACAGGAAGGGAACCCCTGTAGCAGCTGGTCAGGCGTATTTCATCTGAGATGGTAATTTTTTTTTGAAACAAAAGGCAGGAGCTCTGCCGCTCATGCAATTAAGACGAAAGAAAGTAATAATGTACAAGAAGGTTAGCCAACCGAGTAGCCAAAATGGCACCCGAGGGGCTAACCACCCCACGCGACGCGAATGAGCACAAACACGACATACTGCTATGGATCATCATTGTCGAGCATGGAGGCAAAGCTGCCAGCAGCTTGGACTTCCATGGCAGCCCCCCATCGGTCACCTCTCGACGGGTCCAAAGGAACGACCGCCATTTGGTCATCGTTGCCAAGCTCAACCCCGAAGAGCAGCTCCGACTTCGAAGTCGTAAACCCATGCCTCGTGATCGAGGCGCGGCAATAATCCAGATGCGGCGCCTTGAAGGGGCGGCGCCGATGGTCACCCTTCGATGACATGCTAGAGGGGAACACGACGCCCCCAATAGGGAAGCGGCGCCCAATGGCGTCGCCGTCGCCAAGGCTTTCGCCCAAGAACCCTCTAGCACGAACGTCGGGTCGCTGGCCGGACCCTCGCCCGATAACACCGCCATCGTCGCTGTCCCACCGCCTCCACGGAAGCCCCTTCGAGAGGGCATCGACGCGACCATTGCCGCAGCAGCCGCCGACTGTTCGTCGTCACCGTCCCCTCTGTGTCGGACCCGCCACGCGTAGCGGACTGGCTCCACCGCTTTCGCGTCCAGTGCCGCCGCACGACGAGGCCGCCACTGACCATCTTCGTCGGCCTAGGCACCCGGCGATGTCGCAGCCGACCTCGCCGCCAGCCGCAACAGGGCGTGTGCCCCACCATCTCGGGCGCCGCCCCCTGCCCTGGGACCGCCGGATCCGGACACCAGGCCCCGAACCCGGCGCCCCATGCCGCCGCCGCCGCCTCCGTCTTGACCCACGGCCGCAGAGCACCGCCGCCGCCGCCCCAAGCCGAATCAGCCATCCGGAGTCAGATCCGCCACCCGGCACCGGATCTCGAGCTCACGTGGCACCGGACCCGGCCCCCAAACTGCCGCCGTCGCGCCGTCAAGAGAGGAGGGGAACGCGCGGAGGAGAAGGAGAGCCCGCCGCCGTCCCCTGCGCCAGCTCGGGCACTAGCCGGCGCCGCCGTAGCCGCGACGGCCCTCCCCGCTGAGCTCCATGTAGCTCACGCGAGGGAGGAACGTCGACTCCTGCCGCCGCACGCGCCGAGAGAGAGGAGAAAGGCCCCGCCGCCGCCATCCCTGCCGGCCGGGCGACCATGCCGGTGGCCAGCTCCGGCGGCGGCGCGGCGGGGGAGGGGAGGGGAGGGGCTGCTAGGGTTTGGGGGGAGGAGCCACCCGAGCCGCTCGCGTGGGAGCGACGCGGGGGTCGCGTCTCAGGAGACAGACTGAGATTCTCTGCGATGGTAATTGTTGTTAACCTTTGTGATGCTACTAAATGACATTCATGCAGGTGTCATCATTGTGCTTTGTTTTTCTGTCTTGTCATACTGCTATTTTTATTACTTTAATTTAAAAAAAAACTTTAATCCTAATCAAAGTAGAGAAGACATCCAAGTTTTGATGTCTTGATTTTTACAGTACTGTGATTGTTAGTGATTTATTTCAGCTGATGTACTGCGTAGAATATAGATCCAAAAACGTAGTTATTTAGTGACTTCCTTTTCATTTGTTCTGAACACTAGAAGCTTAACACAATTCATTTTTTTCCGTAATCTACCCAGGATTCCATTATTTGAATAACAGAATTGTTCACAATACAAATACATAGTGTTCTATGACATGTTTACAGAAGTGAATAACTGAATACTGAACCTTTGAAATTTAGACTTTTTCTCCTTAAGGGAAGTATCACCTGAAAAGTTGTTTTCTTGGAATGCCTGTGACATAGAGCCAGGGGCGGACACAGCGGTGGGGCTGGGGGGCTCAAGCCTCCCTACCCATGTCGGAGCAGTGGAACCCCCTGTGGAGCCCCCATAATTTTTAGGCAAAGTTCTATAGTGTAGGGAGGTGCGAGACTTAAAATCGAACAGCAGTGTTGTTGTTCAGCCCCCTGAAATATATAACTGGGTCCGTCCGCGCTGCATAGAGCACAGTGAATATATTTGCAATTATACATTTCATTGCCTTATTGAGCCATGACTGTTTCACAGGATCACCATGCAATACTTTTGAATTTATCGTCAGCCCCCTATTTCAGAGTTTGGGTTATGCTGCTCCTCAAGTGACACTGGATACCTCTGTCGCCCTTGCCATTTCAAAAATATTTTTATTCATATCTACACTGTTCTATCCATGGCTAGATAGTAAATGGATCCCACAGCCTCTGATTCTTCCTGCTGAAGTGTACAAGGTCAGCCTCTTTTTCGTGTTGAATTTGGTCTCTCTTTTATGTTGCTAGTTTATCTAACCCAATATAGTTTGAAATGTGAATATAATGGTAAGATGCAAGTGCATTGGTCATGTAAATTTCATCTTTAGTTTGAAAAATCAGTCCTTTTCAAGGGATCTCTCTATCGAAAACTACTCTTGACTAGGCTAGCAGATTTGCAAAAATAATAGTTGTGCTTGATTTGATGTTGGACAAAAGTTAAGATCATATGTAAATAGTACATTGATGTTGGTTGCTAATTGTGGCAGGTTGGTGTTACACACTACTTTTCTTTCTTGAAAGCTAGAGAAGAACTCGGCTATGTACCTATGGTGAGTCCTCGGGAAGGCTTGGCTGCAACTATCTCATATTGGCAGGAGCGGAAGAGAAGGGAACTAGATGGCCCAACCATATTTACTAGGTTGGCTGTAGCAATCGGGTTGCTGGCTGTATTTTCTTCTGCTTGTCTTCCACCAATTGGCCCGTTGAAATTGGTGCTTGACATCCATTTGTTTGTTTTCCGCTCAATGCTAGTGATCCGGCTGGTCTTTGTGACAGCAGTTGCATTGCATCTTGGTGAAGCTGTGTATGCCTGGTTCTTGGCCAAAAAGGTTGATCCAAGGAATGCTACAGGGTGGTTTTGGCAAACCTTTGCTCTAGGGTTCTTCTCTCTCCGTTATCTTCACAAGAGAGCCAGAGAGTGAATCTGTGTTGCTTGATTCCAAGGTCAGCTCCCTGGACACTGTCATCTTCCTCAGTTCAAGACTTCAGATGGCTGCATCACAAATCACTATGCCACTATGGTTTTGCTTCACTGTTGCTGTGGCTGTGCTCCTCGAATGCAGCAAACTAGTTGCCGTGATGCCTTCGTATGCCACGTGGACGTGGCTCAAAGGCCACGACGCTATCCTGATACGCTGGAAGGAGCCGGACAAGGGTCAGACAAGAGGATCGGACATATCGCGGGATTTGATTCATTACTACTTCATGAGCACGGATAGATGAGATGTTCTTGTCTGAACACCGTGTCGCTCGCTGAAGCTAAACCTACAGTTTTGTGGTTCTGTGTTACAGAGATGTTCGTAATGAGGAACAATTTGGAGATGCAATTTTTTTAACCCCAGAGCAAGAGCCATAAATGTATTATTAAGGAGCAGGATTACAATTTGGGCTTGCAGTTTGTCAATCTCCCCTTCATATGTTACTATCTTGTAATTACTCTAATAGAAGCAGATCCTTTCTGCCACTGGAGCTTGATATTCAGTCCTCGTTGAAGCAACAATTTTCGTTGCACGATGCATTCACCTATTGAGCAAGGTCTTAATTTGGACAGAAACCAAGTTATATTCAAGCTGAGCTACATCTCCATATATGTTCAGCCGTCGAAACTGATAACAACATACGTAAGTGTAAGCTATAATTGGCCCCTTGGTGTATGACAAATCTTCTGTCTACACCACCCTTATCATCTCTGTAAAACGAAAGCACATAGGTCTACTGGAGAAAAATTGGAAGGAACATAAAAGGCGCTGTTGAGATGACTTTTGATGTACCAGCAAGCATTTCATTCAAACGCATCAAGTCTTCTTCCAAACAGCTCCAACCTTAAGCATTACGCCTCCGAATTGCTCTCTAATTATTCGTAACAAAGAGATTGTTCTGTAAGCTCAGATCAGCATGTCAGGTTAGTCTTAGCTTTTGCTTTCCTTCCTCTCATACAGGAGCACTGAAAGATCACCCCATTTTCACATCTTCACCACTAGGGAAATCCATGTCCAGCTGAGCTGGGTGCCTGCTCCCGCAGTATGAACACTATTTGACTTCCAGTTCAATTCATGAGTTCACTGAAGTCCAGATGTTGAACTCATCCATTCTTAGAGTGAATGAACTAGAACTTTGTTTTCCACCTCCACCATATGCCTACATTTTTATGATGTGTCAAGAGATGAACAATCAAATCCAACTACAAGGCCATGCAGATTTGAAGAATACAATTACAACGGTGGCATACCTTTGCAATCTCTGATGTATTAACTGTACTGTCAGTAGTCCTCAAGCAAACCTTTAGGACACCCCGTTGCATGAAGACCACTGCTCCAATTGGCCTTTGATGAAAAGGGAAATATTATTCAATAAATTACCAAAGCAACACAAAATAGGCATGGATGTGTTCTGTTAAACCTGAATAGAGCTCATACCTTAATCCAGCAGCAGCACTCCTCTGACTTAACTCCAAACCAATTTCATGGCTCAATTCTGTGTGTCCATCTGCTCTGATTGCCTTATAGTTTGAAAAAGGAAAAGAAAAACATTTACTATAGCAAATGTGACATTTTTAAAGCTAATTGTATAATATTTTTCCCAAAAAATAACATTATATAGGCCATATAGAGCCAGTCTCTAGAGCTGGTCATACTCAAGCGTCCAGCCAAGTTCAAGGTCAGGTACACAACAATCCAAGAACACATGTGGTTAAAAATAAGCATAAAACCATTCCGTCAATTTGCATCAAAAGTCCAGTTGAAAAAACTCGGCAAGCATGAGCTACTACAATAGAACATCTTATACTGTGCTCTTGGAACGTGGAAGAAGGTATCGATCAATTAAAGATGATAACATAAGGCTAAGACAAGCATTCAAATTTGCACAAAACATGCCTATCTCCACTAGCTAGTAGCATATAGTATCACTAAAGCAAGAGCACTCATGGATGCAAGAAGTACCTGCCTTTGCTAATGCAATGCAGTTTTGCCTTCAGTAATCAAAAGAGCTGTGCTGCGTACGTTATGCAGCATGAAGCTATCGAAGTTAGACAAACACAAGTGATAAAATCAGTATAAAATGCAAGAGCGTGTTGTTCACATACCAAGCATTCACCATACGACCCTCTTCCAAGCTGAATCCTGAAAGGCTTCTGTATGAACTCCCCTGCAGCCTGCAGGCGGTCATGAGCTTGCGATTTCTCCCTAGCAAGCAGATCGCCAACATCAAGTTGTAGTAGCTGTGTGGGGTGCCAATACAACAATGCAATCATTGACCATGTCATTCTAAATGATCAGGGTCTTACAAACAACAAGAATAATGGCAGAATGTAGTGCTAAACCTGTCCAAAAACATGAGGATATGTGACACAGTTCAACTTTGCGCGTTCATCCCTAAGTGCTATCTGAAATTCCTTGGTGTTAGGCAGCTGATACCGTCGCAAGTCTGCATCCTCTATGTATTCAAGAACATTTGAAACTCGCTCCGCATCTTCTTGGTCCAACAAGTTTTCACACGTTCTCTGTGTGGAAATAGAACATCCTCATATTTCTTCTAATCATACAAGATAATGAACATAAATGAAGTGTTTTCTCTACTCACAGAATCAGATTTTGTTCCTGCTAGCTCCTTGGAGAAATAATCAAATACAGATCGGGCACTGCCTTTTGACATGTCAATATGAAGCTCCACATTGCTTGGGCACTGACCCAACTTGGGGATTCTTGCTAGCGTACTTTGCCGGTGATCAAATGCTATCACACTGCATCAGTCAGCAATGTCATGAGGGTATACCCCTCTACCATGTTGCTCACTTAAACGAGATCTAACAACATAGTATTTGTTTTACATCAGCCAAAAAGTAAGGGGTGTGTAACCATTGGGCAATTACACTATGTACATGAATATGAGCCATATGGAGTGATTAGCAACTTCAAGTGTTGTAAGTATGTAAACAGCTTACTTCACAAACTGGTATCATCACTATGCAAAGCTTGTAGGCTAAGAGTAGATATGTTCCTCTCTTTTGATTGTTCCACACAAAAGCAACTTCTTTTTTAAAACATTGGCAGCAGCAGTAAACTTCAACTAATTAATTGGCGTTATTCCAAGTCATCTTTTGAACATTGTCGGCAGTAGTAATAATTAACTAATTATCAGTGTTGCATCGACTACTCAATTCACCAAGCTGTACAATGAAAAGCATCATCCAGTATTCCAGTGACCCATTTTTGCCGCAACTCATTCTCTCTGGAAACGCACCTGGGGACGAATCGGGCGAGCTCGAAAGCAAACTTCTTGGGCCCAATGAAGTCCAAGAGATAGCACGTCTGGAACCCCACATCCTTGAAGTCTTCAGCTCTAATCGATCAGTTCATTTCAACAACACAAGCCGTCATGGGAGGAACAATCGCACACGCGGATTACAACAATTGGTAGGAGCCAGTGAAATCCGAAATGGCGAGCCACGAGCGGGGACCAACCTGAATGGCACGACGGAGGAGAAGGGGAGGACGAGGAGGCGGCGGCGGACGCGTTGGTGGAAGAGGCGGGCGGCGAGCGCGGCGTAGGCGCCAGCGAAGGTGGGGTAGTTGTAGAGCGCGAGGCTGGCGGGGCCCGCCTGGCCGTCGTCCGTGTCCGCGTCGGAAGGGGGTGAGGCGGTCTTCGATGGGGCTGAGTGCGAGTGCGAGTGCGAGCGGATGGCCTCGAGGGCGGCTTCCGAGCGGAAGGCTCGCCGGAGCACGGCCGGCGCCGGCGAGGGGGCTGCGGGGAGGCGCGGTCGGCGGCGGAGCATTGGTGGCTCGGTTTCGGCCCGGCGGTTGACTCGGGTCGGGTCGGGTTTTGGGTTTGCTAAGTGCAAAATAAGTGGGCCTAACTATTTCAACAATATTTTTCAGCTAACGAATAGTATTTTTTCTCGCAACCGATCAACATAAATATCAATATAAGTTAAATTTCAGCGAAACGAACAGGGGTATAGATAGGAACACATTGCTGCCAAGCCCCCCATTTATCCAGTAATTTTCGTTACATGTTGATAGAGAGCACCAAATCTCACTGCCTGTTTCAAACGCATTGAATTTCACAGGAATTGAGCAGCAATTTCACATAAATCAGTTTATTATTTACACGAAAAACTCATTCCAAACAAGGTATTGGTTCACGCATCTGCGCAAACTAGGTAGATGGGAGCTGTGGCAGCACTTTGCCCTGGCATCAGACTTAGGTAGTGTTTGGTTGTCCCTCCTATATTTTAGTCACTATCCCATTAAATGTTTGATATATGTATAGAGTATTAAATATAGATTAATTACGAAACTAATTGCATAGTTTGCGACTAATTTGCGAGACGAATCTTTTAAGCCTAATTAGTCCATGATTTGACAATATGTGCTACAGTAAACATGTGCTAATGACGGATTAATTAGCCTTAAAAAATCATCTCGTGGAGTACCGACGGATTATGTAATTTGTTTTTTTATTAGTATCCGAATACCCTATACAACATCCTCCCGACACACCTAAATTTTAGTCGCCGGATCCAACACCATGTTACGAAATCAGACCCTCAGCCAGGCTCCCGAGGAACGAGATTTCCTTCCATTTTCTCCTAGGATGCTAGACGGTCCGTCAACCAAATGGCTTTAACACTTAGTGGAAGGATACGGTAACATTTGCATCTGATGAACCTGACACTGGGCCTATATGGCTGGGACGACACAGGCTAAGTTTTGCACCCGTCATCTCGTCTAAAAGCGGTTGCTTTGCACTCGCCACCTGAGGAGCACTTAAGGAGGAGCTATTTTTTTTTCAGTTCCCATCACTTCAGTTGCTCTACTATTCACCATAAAAATAGATTCTCCTTCTAAAGTATTTGGTATGGCTTTTCCGCATAAGCTACTGTCAGAGCTTGAACAGTGCCAAACATGATCAAATTCAGAGATCAGCAAGCTACCGTGACCGCACATGAAGGGAAGGTAGAGCGCCAAGCCTGAAGGATCCGAGCAGGGGACGAGAAAAATGATGCCGCTGCCGGTGAGGATTAGGCGTCTCCACCGCTCGCTTGCCCAAAATAGATCCACCATTTCTAGCTGAATATTTTTCCCTCCAGTTCTGAACTGTTGTCGCCCATAACCCAAAATGTGATATAAACTGCAACTTTCCTTAAACAATAGCTTCGCAATGTTTTGATTTACTAGAGAGATGTGTCTGTTTGTTGTAATGGAACATACTGCTTGTTGCGC